AAAGATTCATACTTCATGTATTTATCTATGATTATTTTATTAAATGTTATGTTTTTGAAGTTCATCCAGGCTGATGTATGTAGCTATCAGTCACTGATTTTTCATTGCTGTATAGTATTCCATGATTTGAATATACCAAAATTTGTTTATCTATTCTACTATGATGGACGTATGGGCTCTTTCTAACTTTTTTTGCTTTGTTTTTGTCTTTGCTATTATGAGAAAAGCTATTATAAATATGTGAGTATATATTGTTTGGTACACCAAACATATTTATAATAGTATGCTTTCTTATCTCTCATAAAATTTTATAGTTTTTTGTTTTATATATTTTGTTAAATTAATTTTTAGATGCCTTACATTTTTGTAGCTATTATAATAATATCTTTTAAACTATGCGTCAAAAATGTATAGATACTTTTTTTTTTTGCTATAGGGCACATGTGTTTACCAGAGAGAGAGAGAAAGTGAGAAATCACACTCCCTAGGGGGGATTGCCATGCTACAATTCCTTCTCCTTCTTTCTCCTCTCAAGATTTTGGGCATATAAGCACACATGCCTGGTATGATTTTTGAATCAGTGGGTCCAGGACTTGACCCTTGGTCTGCATGTGGGAATCAAGTGCTCTAACCACCATGCCACCAGCTGACCCCTAGAAACAAAGCCATATATCTAGCAATCATGCTAAACATTCCTTTTGTCTATAGTTTTTAGAAATTTTCTATAGAAATAATCCATACCTAAAAATAGTTTGTTCTTTTTTTTTTTTTTTTTTTTTTTAAGGGAGATTTTTGGTATAGGGCCTATGTGATTACCAGAGACACAGAGAGAAATTGAGAAATCACCCCTAGTGGGATGGCCAGGTTGCAATCCCCTCTCCTCCATTCTCCTCCTGGGATTTTGGATACTTACACATGCATGCCTGGTATGAGTTTCAAGCTGCCTGGTTCAGGACTCAAACCATGGTCATCCATGAGGGAGTACAGTGTCCCACCACTATGCCACCTGCTGGGTCTGCAATAGCTTATTCTTTTATTCCATTCCTTGTACTCCTTGCTTATTATTTGTTTTTCTTATATTATTGTACAGTGTAGGACTTCTAGAACAATTCTGAAGCAAAGTGGTAATAGAAATTTTACTCCTTCTTTTAAAGAGATTAGTTTTAAGATTTAAATATTGAGTATCAGTGTAGCATTTTTTTTCCCTCTTATAACTTTTTAAATTAAGGAAATTTTCTTTAATTCCTAGTTTTAGAATCATGAGTGCTTGTTGAATTTTATTAAATTTTTCTGCACCTATTTGAGATGATTATTATTTTCTCTTTTAATCTGTTAATGCAGTGATTTAGTTTAATAGATTTTCTAGTGTTGAATTATATTTGCATTTCTGGAAATAATCTAATTTGACATGATGCATCGTTTAATGTGCTGCTTATTTTGATCAAAGTCATACATTTACATAATCAAAAAAGAAGATTCTCTCTCCCCAGAGGCAAGCATTTTTAACCATTTATACTCCTAGTTCTTCTCATGGGGCGTTTCAACTCTTAAAATAATTTCCTTATAGCATTTTTCCTTAATTATCAGTTTGAGAAAATATAGCTGTTGACTTTTTCCTGCGACAGGTGAGATAGCAGCTTTCCCAGTCGCCCCTCTTCACTTTCAAATGTTTATATCATAGCAGTATTTGTGGTTCCTCTACTATGTTTATATACACTACTTTACAAAAGTTCTTTTCTCTGGATTCCACCAAATATAGACAATGTTTCCTGATGTCTTATTTTGTCATCTAATGGTATCTGCACCCCTTCATTTCCTTTTATGTACCAGGTTTTCTATTTTTAAAGGTGGTAACATTTATGTTCTATTCTGTGTTCCTAATAAGCCCATTTCTGTTTGTCCATAAGTTGGAAAATCAATAAATAATAAGGGGTTGTCAGAAAAGTCAGGATGTATTTTCCTGTTTTTCTATGTAAAAATGCATCATGGCTTTTCTGATGACCCATTACTTAATTTAATATGATTATATAATAATTGTCTGAGATGACCAAATTTATGTCAGGAAGAGCAAATGTCCACAAAGGACGGAACTCTTTGCACAAATATCAAATGGATTGTTTTACATATGCCAGTCTCAAAAATCACATCTCATGCTAATTCACCTCATAACGGGCCCATGAATTGAATTCTTACAGAATATTTTAGACTATTTGAATGCCTTCTTTTTCCTTTTGAGAGGTGTAATATTTGCCTTCTTTACCATATCCTTGTATCTTCTAGCTTTTTCATCATTCTGTCTGCTGTGTGCTTCTTAAAGACTTCTTTGAGGGCACAGACTAGCCGCTCTGACTTGCATGATGTATTTCTAGGCTGCTGCATCCTGACATCTAGTGCCCATCCTCACTCTCTTCCTCCTTCCTTCATTTTTTTCCTTCTTTCTTTCCTTTCTTTTTTTCTACCTTGTATCTACCACTTAGTTCATTTGCAACCTTGCAATGCTGGGGTGCAGTCTCAAATAACTTCCTACAAGAGTTCACCAAAAGTAAACCATCTGAGTCCTTACAAGGCCTTCTAAGGACTCAAGTTGTTTATTTTTGGTGAGTTGTTTTTACATCCTTTTTATTCTTCCTGGAACTTGGTAGGCCTTTTCAACTTGAAGGTTCATCTCCCCCTTCAAGTCCTGTAAAATATTTTTGTATATATTCAATGATTGCCTCCTGTCTATTTTTTCTCTTGCCTACATCTCGAATGTCTACTAGATGAACGCTGAAAGTTGTTTATTAAGTCTTTCTGTGTACGGGTGTCTCTTTTGCTCCCCATCTCTCTCATCCATCCCACATAAATAAGCATTTGATGTGTGACGAATGTGGCATTGCAATGAAGTGAAAAAGGGTGGCTTTTCAACAAATGTTTCTGGATTAATTGTATACCCATATGAAAAAAAAATTAACCTTGACTTCACTCTCTCATCATGCACAAGAATAGATTCTAGGTGAATTAAAGCTCTAAATGTGAAAGGTAAAGCAAAGATAGGAACACAGGAAGGTATCTTTATGATTTTTGCAAAGGAAAAGATTTCTTTCTCTCTCTCTCTCTCTTTTTTTTTTTTTTTTTTTTTGAAGTGTTTTTTGCTATAGGGCACATATGCTCACCAGAAAGACAAGAGAGAGACAGAGAGACAGAAAGTGAGAAATCACCCTCCAGGGGGGATGGCCATGCTGCAATCCCTTCTCTTCTATTCTCCCCTTGGAATCTTGGGCATGCACACACGCACACACACACACATACACACCCGGCATGAGTTCAAGCCACCAGGTCTGGGACTCAAACCACGGTTGACTACATGGGAGTCCAGCGACATAGCTATCATGCCAACTACTGGTCCCATGTAAAGAAAAAGATTTCTAAAACTAAAAATAAAAAGTACAAACTA